GAGGGTTCTGGAAAAAGGCGGGAAATAGAGAAGCGAGAGGGGGTGGAAGAGATCTTAGAACAGCCCTTCGAGCTATCAATCATTTCTGCGAACTCTTCGCAACCAGGAGTGCATGGCGTAGACCGAGTCGGTTCAGGAAGGCGTTCGCCGCTGTTTTTGGAATGTCTTTATTCTTAAAAATCTGTTTGATCCATTATTATATGTCAGCCATAATCACTGCCACAAATAACACGTTATCGCACATTTGTGAAGCCACACTAAACACGCCTAATCCCACGCCTAATCGTTTTTGTGACCATTGCTAAAATAGACATTTCCATTCAGTTCACCAGCAGATCCCTCACCATCGCAATCAACCGCTGTAGGTTCTCAGGTCCTAGCGAGGTTAATATTTTTATTTATTTATCTTCTTCTGCTTAAGTTCTTTTATCCTTTATTCTTATTTTTTAGGTGGTCCAAAATCAAGTTCTCCATACTGACCCGTGCATTCAAAATCATCTAGAGAGTATCAGCCACCAATGTGTACATTTTTGCTCAAGTTAAAAATTCCTATTGATTGAAATACGGTAGAATAAAATCTGTGATATGATATGAATTGATTTCTGATAAGAACACACTCGATTTTTGTTTCAAAATGCTGCACTTTTATTTATTTCGAACGGGCAAAGGGCTGATTCTCTTTATGTTGATGCCTTGATTTGCTTGGTTCAATAGCTTTTGCTGAGTTTTTGTTAGCTTCGTTCATGTTGGGATTACGCCATGCACTCGTGGATCGACAGTTATTGTAGAGGTGATTGGGAACCGAAAATGACAGTAAATGACTAGTTGGGATGGAGGTTTGCAGATGTTTTTTTTGGGAGTAGGCCAGGGCTTCATCCCAAGAGAGGAGCTTCTCATCTGCTGGAAGGGTGTGTTTAAGGTAAGAGCTTCTCCTGATTGACCCTCTTTAAAGCTCTCTGGAACGCGCCAAGCATTTTAGTTCTGTTCGGGATCGTGATGGCATTTTGATTGCTGTTCATTCTATACTTTCGGAGCTAAGCCGGAGGGAGCTAGTGTTTTCTATCCTGTCAAACACTTCTGGCACCAAATGAGGGCTGGGAAAGAATTGATTGTCTCTGACGAGATTTCGGGGTAGAATTCGGCCCGCAAGCGTGGCAACCATTCTTCATCCTAGTGCTCTGCATTCTTCCTTGCCTTTTTAGAGGCATTTCGGAGCATATCCACTTTCTAGACCTCTGCTTGAAGTCTTGCTGCATCTTACCCGCTCCCAACCAGTAGCAGCCTTCTTCCCATACCAACATCCTTGGACAGTGGGGGGTGGCACACTACTCAGAGTGGAGGCGGGGCGTTTATGCTTCGAAACAACTCCAGAGTGCGGAAGTGCATAATATTTCTATGTTTGCTTCCGTCAGCACTGTTAAAAGAACTGCGGATACACTCTGTGAGATGCGCCATGTACATGACTCTATCGCAATCTCAGAGTCTAGCTACGAAACAACGGGGAACATTAGGATGAAGTCTCTCTGTAGGCTGCACGGAACTACCGAATGCAAGACGCAAACGGTCAGTGTGGACGGGTCACAAAGCCTCTCGTCTCAGCGCCGCATTATGAACCAGATTAGCTTTGAGGTGAATTGGGGTAGAAGGGGGTACCTTCTCCTAGTACTGCGAAACATTCCCATCCTCTGAAAGGTGGAAAGAATGGAGAGGTGAAAGGAAGCAAAGGTTACCCTCAGGCTTCGGTATGGTAGGCTCCTTAGCCTTCGGAGAATCCTCGGTACTGCACTGCTTTGGTCCATGCATGATTTTTTTTGTTGTGTTTTTCTTCTCTCCCTTTTCCTTTCCTTTTCTTCCGACTGTTTCAGTAAAGGTAAGCGCGGGATATAGGCTTGCCGTTTAATAGCACTGATTGTATGAGAAGGCGCGTTCAAAAATTGTTAAGCGTGACTAAAAAATGGGGGGGGGGACGTGAACCCAAGACCCTGAGATCTAGAAGGTTTTAAAATCCTGGAGCTTTGTTTATATCCACAGAAACGGGGGTGCGATGCAGTGGAAGGTAGAGCCAAAACAGCCTTTCATATGTACAAGCTTGGTTAGTTACAGTAGATTCGTAAGAGAGGATAAAAACGCTAACCCCTACATTGGCTGACCCTCATCGCTCGACAATTAAGTCTGCCAGTCCAGGGATGCATTTGAGAGCTGCCCAACAACTCTAGGGCAACTGGAACACATGGCGCGTATTCATAGAACAGTCAATACTTCCACTCGTCAATACTCCCTCCCCCCTCTCCCGCCCTTCCCCAACATTCGATCCACTGCAGATCACCAAGAAACGAGTGATTTCTCCCGATTTCTTTGGGTAATCGGTCAGGTTTAAGAGATGAGAATCACCTTTTTGCAGCGGAAAAACATTTGTTTTATGATTAATCAGGTTATTCAATATTGCTGGTATTGATAAATGAAAAAGACGGTCCAATGTGGGGGGAGCGGGTGGGTCAAGTTTTTTTTTAATCGTCGAGGTGAAGAAGTGTGAATCTGGTTCATAAATTTACTGTAGGGACCGTGCTAATGTCGTGAAGAGTTTTGTGTTGCTCATGGAGCTGAAAGGACCAAAACACCCAGAGAAAGGTCAGAGAGGATCAGAAGTTGTGGACTAATTAGGTCCAATCTGCTATATTCATGCGATTATAAGAAAGTGAGGAAGAAGGTGTGAATTGGGAGGTCCGTGTTACGGCAATTATCTCGTTGCGCGAAGCATTTCCTCTCTTATTGACTCGACGGCTCATATTGACTTTTCCGTCAATTAGTATGTCCTGGCCCGAATCGCACCCGCTTGCAAAGCCGCTTTCGCCACGACGTCGCAATTCGGATCTCCTGACCCACAAGAAGATTGCGAGTATCGCTTCTGAGATGGCCCAGGTTGAATCATTTCTGTAATTTTATACTAAGCCGTTTATACCCAGATTTTCCTATGGCAGTATCTGAAAATTTCTCAATATTGATTTTAAGTGATGAACCGTCAAGAACGGGCGAAGAAAGCGATGAAATGTTGGTTTATGGTCCGTTGCCGAGAGAACCAGACGAGAAACTCTATCCATGGAAGTATGAACGAAAGGATAGCGGTGTGCGGAAGTTGTAAGTTACTATGCATGACTCACTTTTCTGAAATTTATTTTTATTTATTTAACTTGTATTCCCTAGTCATTTTCATCCAAGCCATAGTGACTAGCTAACTCATCTTAAAGTGGGTATTCAGGCGCGTAAAATCGATAACCAAATTTACGGACTTCTGGTCGCACTTTTGGGCAATAGTCGGTCTCCCATTAGCGTCACAAGCTTTTCTAAGTCCACATTTCTGAAGTAAATTTTATTTCCATCTCGTCTCTGTCATTAACCTCACTCTTTCTCCTTTACTCTACTTTTCTTGATGTATGACTTTTCATACGAGAAAAGCGAGTTGGAGGGGGCGCACAAAACTTATGAACTCGGCGGCTTTCCTAGTAATAAGCCCTTTTTTTGCAAATTTCTCCCAGTCGGCAAAGATGAATGGGAATATCCGCCTTTCGACACATCTATGGCCGGTTTCTGAGTAGTATGGCTTCGTAAAAGGTCCCGCGAAAAGATCTTTGTTTCATTTGATCGACAAATTATACAAAAATCAGTAGTCAGCTAGAATGTTTTAGGTTTAAAGCGGAATTGGTAAACCGCGCCGTCGCGGCCGGCGGGCATAGTCCAGCATGATGTCCTCAAGGTTCCCTGCCGCGCAGTTTCGCCTTGGCATAGGCTCATGTCTATTTCCCAATTGACTGTCGAGCTTTGCACAATGGCCAGCACGGCCATAGCTGGTATCGACGAATCTTTAGCCCATGTTGGCCCCGCCGCGACGCGACCGCGCGCGTCTCGCTATGCAACTAAACTCTAGTGTGTGCCAGGAGTATTATGCTCGGTTGCTGTTTGGGCCCTGGGCTATACCGATTTTACTTTAGAACCATTCATTTTCATATTCAACCTAGAAACGCTTTCCCATTGGGTTCCAATTATTTGATTTCGGTGAGGTTTCTTTCTGTCCGAGTCCGATGAATTTTGGCACTACTTTTTTCTTTCGGCGCGATTAAATGATCTGAATGTCCAACCATTCTTTCAGCTTCCGCTTCTTCAAGGAATTTGGCGCGAATCCATCGCCACGGCGCGGCTCATCGACAACGACTTCGCCCCGCCCACAACGTGCTAACCCGGGAAATTAAGCATTCAAATTTCACGAAATCCTTTCATATATGCATATATCTATACATATAATTAATACGAGAAATCGATATGATCTGGACTCTATGATGTCTAAATGATAGCGCGCTATGATTCATTTTCACGGTCTCATCGTCGTTGTACCAAAAAACATCGTTGAGTGTTTTACACTGCATTGGGTCGGCATCGGGTCCGTTTGTGACAGTTGTCCGGTGCTCACAAGGACAACTATCACTTCTTGGCAGCTATCAAAAATCACTTCACTAACCAAAACTAAATCTGTTCCTGTGAATCTGATGCCGACTGAACTTCTCGAAAAACGCGGCTTGAACGAGGTGTGGACATGCCAAAAGGCTATTTAGCTATTTTAAATTAATTTTACTTACTTATTATTAGTGATCCTGTCGCTAGCCCTACTAATTACTGACTAATTGACCAATTTGTTATGTTGTTAGTCCGCCATGTAAGTAGATTTGTACATCTGTGTTTGTATGCAAAGAGGTAAACCCCGCTGATGATTCATTTATCGATCCCGATGTCAGAGACGCAGATTAGCGCATGTCTGGTTGTCTGTACGCTGGCTGCCAGACTTTCTCGCTTTCTTTCCCTAACTTCTCTTATCTTTGTCTTAGTCTGTACTCATCCCAAAATGGGTTACCAAACTCGAAATCTGGTCAGTTTCTGGCTTTTGTTTTATTGTTCGACACCGTTGTGAATCTCACATTAATAAACTGTTGAATTTCTTTCATTGTGACGTCGTATTATCGATCGGTTTCGTGAAAATATATCCAAAATATGAGAGACCGAAATTTACTGATAAGATGCGTGCAAGGATCACATCTACAAGCCATTTTGCGGAACTCTGGCCGGGGACGCGTGCGGTTGCGGCGCGGCGTAGCCCACTGGTCGATATCTTGTCGACTGTGCGCTGTGCTTTTTGCGGTTATGGCGCGGCATGGCTCATCGATCGATATCCTGTCGAC